TTAGAGTTGTTCATACTGAATTCATTTTCCTGGTTTACTGAGTGTCAATTTAAAATGTTAAACTTTACTTGAGTCCTGTGATTCCGAAAAATAGCAAAGGTTAAAAAAATTCTACTACTCTTTTGTGTCCTCGGAAACTGCTTATTACAAAGAACTACCTTTCCATACACTACTTAGAGAAGACTCATGAATTTTCCTTGTTTACCTGTGGCCAGAGCTACATTGACCTTCTAAATTCTTATTCTTTGCCTCATAAATAATTAGCAGAACTGTTTTGGCCTGACTGATCAATCTAAACAAAATGCCTGTTAACTATTTTTTTTTCTCTCCTTCCCCCAGGAATTTGAACTTTGACTCACCCTCTGCCTGAACCAGCACACAACTCCTGTAATGGCCTGTATGGCAATAAGCTGACCTCACATTAAACTATTCTCTAATTCAGGGACTGACCATAGATGTTTTGTTCTGTTCTTTCACTTTCTGGACAAATGGAAACTTAAGTTTTGCCTCCATCCTATCTGCTACTTATACAATTTTTGAATTATCTCATATACATCCAAATCCTCAAACTCTATGGATATTCTATCATGTCTTCTGGGATTAAACATAGATGGGGCTGAAGCATGGAGATAGCCTAGTGAGGATCTCAGAGCCCCTTTGCTGGCATCCATCATTATCCAGTTCTGTTTTATACTCTCCAACCTTTTCCTTTACCATTATCTCGTTTCATGAAAACTTAATCTTTCCTCAATGGTAAGATAAACTGAATATGATTGATCTTTTATTCTAAATCTATTTTATATTGGGACTAAAACGAGGCTTTTGAAAATTAAAACTTTTTTTTCTCTAACTTTACTGCATCGTCCTCCTTTGAAGTAACCAGTATTGAGTAAAGAGTCACCAATGCCTGAATGTGAAGTAAGAAGGTAGGAGAAAAGCGTCATAAAGAATAGAATAGTATCCTACATGGATATGGGTTGGGAACGGTTTTCATAAAGATGACAGAAGTACCTTGGATTATCTACAGTCTCATCAATATCCCCAACACCCAGGTCTCACAGATCAGCAAGATAATCTGGGTGAGTTTGGGAAGAAGTGTCTCCATTCCCTGGACAGAGCTTAGCAACATCCTTGAACATCTCAAGTTCAAGTCTTATAGATTATAGGGCTGTAGTTAACTTATCCTAGCTTCCCTCTTCAATACCATCTTCTACTGAAAACATCCGGCCAGATAATAACTTATTATGTCTCATCCCTTCATCATTTTTTATTTTCTCCAGATACCCAAGATATTATTTATTGCCCTCTCAATTTCCTGTTAATTACACCTTATTTTTTAACTTATAATTACAGAGTTCTCTTCTTTTTATAAGTAGAAAATGTTTCCACTTCCCCAAGTCTGTTTCTTCATCTATAAAATGGGGATTATTATTTTATCTTTATAGATATCATATGTATGACCCTGACATGAGACTATACTGAGATTGAAGATCTAATCCCATTGTGCAAATTGGAAATGACCATATCAATATCAGTTATAATTAAATATTTATAATATATGGTAATTCTCATGACTATAGATACATTAGCAAACAGGTCTGAAGAAGCCTCTAAAAACACACACGCACACAAAAAATCACTAGGCGTTGTAATTTTCCCAAAGCCCCTCAGATGCTGCCATTCTTTCCCTGGGGCTGTGCATTCCTTTAAGAACTATAAAGTCCTGGAGTTTTTGTCTTAAACAGGTACTCAGCTAGCCTCACCTTGCAACTCAGTTATCATTACAATAATAAGATCAGGCTCAACTGACTGAAGTAGTTAGGGCTACAACGTCGGTATCCAGCAAGACAAAACTATCAAATAAGCAGCAGAATGATTAGCACCTGTGATGTGTTATATCCACTGTTTTCATTGGTCTGCTCCCTAAGGTCTAACCCACATTGGAGAATTCCTACCCGCCTCAGAGGGTGTCTGCTTCTTCTTGATCTGGATCTTGTTTTTTGAATCTAATCTTCAGAACAGATGATTGGGAGGGTGGGGAGGCATGTGGCTTCTATAAGTTTATTTTCAGCCAGAGCCTAGGAGAGGGGAAAAGAGGCCTGGAGTCCTGCATGAGGTTTCTTTCTGATCCTGGGTGAGTGAGCATCCTGAAGCCTCCATAGCTGTTTTATGTACATTATTGTGGCAGATCACTGTGACTCGTTTGGTTTAACTGGCTGACAGAGCCATCTGTTGTCAGGGCATCCAATTCAGAACTGTCCAGTCAGGGAGCAAAATAAAACACATCTCTGAATCACAGGACAGAAGGAGAGCTGCAGTCATCTGCATTTTTTTTTTAAAATAAGGTTTTCCCTGCAAGCAGGTGGAAGGATGCACCTTAAAGGGCCTCTGTGATTGGCTCCCAGCCAGTCTTATGAATTTTTCACAGCTGGCATCAAGATAAACTAATTTTTTACTAAATTGACCCCTATTACTTTCATTTTCATAGCTCACAACCAATTGCTGAGATACAATTTAGTACAATACAATTAATATTATAGCATCTTTCATAGTAAAGCATCCAAAAAAAAAAAAAACAGTTAAAACCTAAGTTATCCACCAGTGGGGATGGAGGGATGTAAATAGGAAATAGAGAAGACAACATAAACCTCAGAGAAAAGAGCGCTCTGAGAAATCTACAACATTTTCTGCTGCTTATACTGAGAAAGAAAGGCATTGTGGAAAATAAGAGAGACAACAAATGATCGACAATTACTTCACTAAGACACTTCTAAGAATTTAAGACATCTCCCAAAGGAGATGACATATAAGTTGGGCCTTGAGAAGGAGTGAGGGAAGGAGGAATGCCAAGCTGGTGAAAAAAAAAGGAAGACTTTCCCAAGCAAAGTGAAAAACATGTGCAGGAGCGGAGGGCTATGAAAAAGCAGATGTGGCCCCCATGCTGTGACACCTGCCTCTACCTCCTTGTCATTTCCTACCACTATGCTACCACCTAAGGTATTTATTTATTTGTATATCAATTTGGACACACATCACTTCTATTTTAGTTGATGAATTATCCATTTCTGGCATTATTTGTAGTGATGCTCAAATTGTTCCATTTTTGGACATCGGTAGCCCCTTCGGTACATCTCCAATATTATTTGAGTACTTTCCTACTTTCCTCAGACAACTCGTTTTATATATATTTTTTAGCTTTAGCTCTGGAATTAATCATTCCTCCAAAGAGCGCTGGTAATTTTTAGTGGAGAATGGTATTGAAGAGCCAATATCTGAGTACCAGCTGTGCTCATTGCTACTAGTTACTTCATTGCTTTCAACCTCATTCAGTGTTCAGAGCTAGGAAACACAACACAAACACATACACACACATATTTCTGAATCTACCTATTTATATATTAACAACAAATTTATCTGATAATTCCAATATCGGTCCAACATCCTTGTGTTTATTCTAGCTATTTCTCCTCTATATTTATAATTCCAACAGAGAAAGCTCTGCCACCTATTTACATTAACATATTTACTTATTTGAGCAGTGACAGAACATTTCAGAATTAGTTGTCATTTTCAAAATCATTCCTACTAAGTAGAGTTAAATATTTGTTTTTGGAGAGTAAAATTCATATACAGCACAATATACAAATCTGAAATGTACAATTTAATAAATTTTGATATGCCTGTACCTATGTAAATCATACTGCTATTAAGACATAGAAGCTACCATCATTGTAGAAAGTTTTCTCTTGCCTCTTCCTGGTAAATTCCCAGCCCTAATAGATTAGTGTTTCCTCTCTTAGAAATTCATATGGTGTGTATTTGTGTGTGTGGTGGGGGGAAGGGGGCTTCATTTGCTCAATATATTGTCTAAAAGATTCACCCATGTTGTTGTATGAGTCAGTAGGTTTTTTTTTTTCATTTTTACTGCTTAATATTATTCTCTTGTATGAATATATCAAAATTATCCATCTAGTCTTTTGTTGATAGGCATTTGGGTTGTTTCTTGCTCTGAAATGTCATGAATAAATCTGTTATGAACATTTTCCATAAAGACTTGTGTGGAAATATAGTCTCCTTTCTCTTGGACAAATCTCTAGGAGTGTTTAGATCATAGGGGGGATATATGCTCAACTTAAAAAAAAAACACAGTTTTCCAAATTGATTGTACTATATTACACTCTGTATCACTGCTTGCTTCATATTTTTGACAAAATTTAGTGTTATCAATCTTTTTAAACTTAGCCATTCTGCTAAGTGTGGAGTGGTACCTCTTTGATTTAATTGAATTTTCCTGCAGACTAATGATGTTGAATTCTCTTTTTCTTTTACTTATTGGCCATATGTATTTCTTCCTTTGTGAAGTCTCTATTCGGGTCTTTTTTTTTTCATTGAATTGTTTGTTTTTTCATTATTGAATTGTAGAATACAAGTTCTTTTCCTTTGCCAGATATATGTTTTGCAAATGATTTTTCCTAGGCTACTTTAAGGTCATAAAGCTATTTTCTTAGGTTTCTTATATGAGCTTTATAAACTTAGATTTTTAAAATTAGGTCTGTGATCCATATTAAATTAACATGTGACATGATATAGAGATCAAGTTCATTTTTTCCATGTGGATTTCTAGTTGTCGAAGCACTGTTTATTGAAGTCCTTTAGTGCTCCTATCAAAAATCAATTGACTGTGTAAGTGTGAGTGTATTTTTGAATTCTCTATTCAGTTTTATTTAACTATCATCTCACAAATACCACACTGTCTTGATTAATGTAGCTTCCTAGTAAGACTCAAAGTCAGAGAATATTGGCCCTCCTATATTATATTATTTTCTTTAAGATTCACTAAATAGATAATCATGCCATCTGTCAATATTAACAGTTTCAATTCTTCCTCTCTAATCTTTCTCTTTTTTTCTTGCCTTATTACACCTTTTTAAACTTCTACTACAATGTAGAATATAAATGGTGAGAGAGAATATTTTTGCCTTGATCATTCTCTTAAAGAGAAAAATGTGGAACCTCTCATAAATTTTTATGTAATCCTTGTACAGGATTCACACTAGTCATCTCTGCTCTGTTCTAAAATTAATATATATGTCATTGAAACAAACACATATTCCTTTGCAAATCTGTGGCTTCCTTGAGGTCAGAACTTATGATTGAGTCATCATTCTAGTCCAGTAACCTAGCATAATGCCTCAAACGTGTCAGAATTTCAAAAAGCTTTTTCAAAAGCATGAGTTTAAAAGAAAAAAAAGATTGTTTTTAAGAGATAACTCTAACAGCATAGGACCTTATTTCCCAGAGGATATTCTGTCGAATACTTGCTCTAAGAGAAGTTATGTTAACTTTTTAAAATATATTTTTGATATATTTGGGGAATTCTGGATTAAAAGAGGAATCAGATTTAACTATCTAATAAAGTAGACAACTTATAGGTACAACTCATGCATAAAATTCTATGATATTTCTATGTAACTAAATCCTTTATAATCCCCATTTCTAATGATGGGTAAAAAATAATAATGTAAACTTTCCAATTATAGGTAACTCAATCTTTTCCAGTTTAAGATCTTCTCACTTAGATAAATGTTCTCTCAATTTAAAGTTTAAACTCTCTTTCAAACAATTTTTCCTCCAAATGGTCTCCTGCAATTTCCTCTTTAAAATGGTGTCTGGAATGAGGATAAATGCCTTTCACTTGTTGAACTCTGACTGAGGCTTATCTTGTCTCACCTAACTTTGGGCAGTGAATTTTTTTTCTGTGTCTGGTTCTCCAGTGACTGTAATAGGTGTAGCTCATTGCCTATTCTCTCAGCAGAACCAAAGGTGTGAGAACACAATTATCCCCATTCTCACTTCCAATGTCTACTTCTCCTTGGCTCCCACTGACATGCTAAATCCTCTGCTTTTCAACTACAACTTCACCCTGCTTTACTGTTTTTCATATAGGATCATCTTCCCATTTACTAAGGTGACTTATAGCACATCCACAGTCTCATTCTTCAACTATTTTCAATTGTCCCGATAGGAGCATAAGAGAAATTTTGAATTCCTTCCACGCCACACATCTGTCAAGGAAGATTCCACTGGCAAAATTCTCTGCTGTTTTTCAGCCTAAATGTGTATGAAATCTTTTCTGTTCCACTATAGCCAGCCTATATTGGCGCAAGAGAAGATCTTGCAAGTCAGTGTGTTTTCAGTTACAACTGATAAGAAGAGCGCATACGCCCTTGCATTTCATCTTTCCCTTCAATCCGCTTGTGGTCTTCATCTCACCTCTCTGGCACCCCTTGGATCAAGGCCCATGAAGTGGGGGTACTGGGTCCATAAAGGATCCAAGCTGCTTCTTTACCCTCTACCTATTCTTCCCCAATATCTTCTTTTCCCCTCATGAAAAGTACCATGTTCCTTTCTCTGTCTGGTGGGCACTCTTCACATAGTGATCTGTGTATCCACTAAACCTAAATGTAATATGTAACAGATCTTTAGAAGGCAGCTGTGCTAACCATTATACCACCTATACTAAAAGACCTTTAGGAATTTAAAAATCCATTCTCTCTCAATAAAGCTGGGATTTCGAGAATTTTTCTAGCCTTGGTCTTCACAAGTCCTCTTTTGGAATTTGTTGAATATTGACTCTGTGTCTTCGAATTTCTACTATAATTATCCTAATTTTCCCTAATGCACTTGGTGCTTCAGGTTAAACAGGCTTGTGATCATGAGCAATGGCAGAAGAGAAAAGCACATTACTATCTTCATGTTACTCAGGACTTTTCAAATCTTTTAATATAAAGACAGATTTTATGACTCTACAAGCATGGAAGATATGATCTATAGAATTTTCCAACTTATTTGAATCCTTTTTCCTTAAAGAACGCACCCAGACTAATACTTCATTAAAAGTACACTCAGGAGCAAAAGGCTGCATGGCAAAACAGGAAAAACTGGAACTAGATAAGCCAGTTAAGAGACTACTTATTTGTCCAGAAGAGGATTGATGACCTTCTAACTAGAGAAATGTCAATAGCTATGAAGAGGAGAAACAGGTTCAAAAATTATTTAGAAAATGAGATTATGTGATCTGGTGAGAATATTCACTCTAATGAAATGGGATTCCGTATATTTTTATTTAACAATATGTTTTGTAAATTTTTAAATTTCAAGAAAGCAACTGGATGAAAAGCAGGGTCATTTATGTAAAATAGATATAGAAGAACAACATAATTTGGGGGGGTTGATATTGAAGAGAAATAGTCTCAAGATACCCAATTATGTTTTATTCTGCCCCTCCTAGTCCATAAAATGTATCGGAAAGGTTTCCTTGACTTCTCAAGATCTTTATAAACAGACCTACCAATGAAATGAGAAAGATTGAAAAAAAAATTCCTAAACGAGCATGTCAGTGAAATTCTGGATTAATAGCAAGTTCAATATTTTAGGAACCAAATGTTTTTCTAACAATGCATTGTAATATCTTTCATAGGCCTCCATTGGTTTATATTTTTCACTTACTAAGCCTAGTATAATGTGTTTATTGTAACGTAATTTGAACATAGAAGGATAAAAAAGCAAACTTAGTCATAAAGTTACATTAATTATTATTATTAAATATGGTGTAAGACACTGTAAATGTTTCAAGATTAATAGACTAAAACTAAATCATCAGATAGAATTGGTGATTTTTAAAATAAAGAAAAAACAATATTGCTGTGCTTCTTTTGAACAAAGATGGTGACAATTAGATAGAAATTATAATAAGATATGATCCAGGAAAATGGCCTATTATTTTTCTATATCTTTCATATAGTGATAAAAATATGAAAATAATATTAAAGAAAATAAATTGGGGACTATGGCAGATTGCCAGAAAAAAATGGCCATAATTATTTTCCTCCTTCCCTTTTATTCATGTCTTTTTGAAATGTGACTTTGCAGCTATTTGAATCAAAAGGTGAACTCTGCTTTCCCTCCCTTTGTACTTGGTCTGACCTTGTGACTTGCTTTGACTAATGGAACAAAGTGTAAGTGAAGTGACAGTTGCAAGCCTAGGTTTTATTCTGCCTTGACACCTCCGCTCTCTCTGCAGGAACTCTTCCCAGCCTTCACGCAAACAAGCCTGAGCTAGCCTGGTAGATGATGAAAAACCTCATGGAGGAGGGATGCGCCATTCCAATTGAAGGCATCCTAGACCAACAGCTCTAATAACTGACTGTAGGTACATGAGTAAGACCAGCTGAGACCAGAACAGCCCTAATAGACCCAGCCCAAACTGCCAATTTGTATAATTATAAAATAAATGGTTATTGTTTTAAGCCACTAAATTTTGGGGTGATTTATTATTCAGTAACTAATTCAATGCTTTGTATTGTTTCTCTTCTTAACTATTTTAATCACCTCTCAGTATTTTACTCCCTTTCTGCCTTTCTACTCTCATCCTACCTACATATTGGTGTCAATTTAATTTCTTAAACATTATTCTCATCCTATTAATTCTTACTCAAAACAAAAACAAAAACAAAAACAAAAAACCTTCAATGGCTCCTGATTGCCCATATAATAAAGTCTCAGCAATTTTAACCTGTTATTTAAGGTCTTTTATGATTTCTCTACAACTTAAATTTTGAATCTAAGCTTCTTCTATTCGTCTTCATTCACCCTTGACTTTGCCAAAATGAATTATGATAAGTCCTTGACTGTGAGACACCATTGATTGAAGAGTCCATCATTCATTTAATACATATCTTACTACATAGCCTAATGAATAGTAAGTTTCTCTTGAAATTGACTCTGAGATAACTCATGGTATTCTACACATTAAAATATAAAAAGATAATGTGACCGAGAATTAAGGAAAGAGTCTTCGCTGTTTTCCACATCTTGTATTCTCTGCCTTCTGTCCATGTCTAGAACAATTGCTTTTGCTTTATATAATCTAAGTCTACATACTCAAAGCCTGCCTATCTAAAAATCTATTCAAATGCCCCTCCCCTTAGACATTCCTGAGAACCTTTCTCTTCACTAAGGTAAATGTAATCACTCGTACATGAACTCCCCTAGAAAATTATTAGAACTGCACATAGACACTTGTCACTTCCTACTCTATATCGGCAACTGTTTTTATTTGTTATTAGAATGTCTGCAAGTTGAGGGTAATTCAACATTTATTAAATATGTCACACCCGCTTTTTGCCTTGCCAACCCAAAGTTCTCAGTACAATGTCTATTGGGCATTGAACAATATATATTTGTTAAGTTCAATGAAAAACAGGGCTAAGACACAATAGATGAGATAATGGGTGTGTGAATACCCTGTATAAACTATAAACTGTAAGATCAGTTCCAAATATTAGCATTGCTTCCTCCTCTGAGAAATAAGGCAGTTGAACCTGATTTATTTCAAAAATAGTTTGTAAGTAGCATTCCACAGTGATAGGAGCTCAAGGTGCTGCTTTTTCCTTAAGTCTGTTGGCTCAAAATGTGAGATGACTTAAAAACCAGTTATAGAACCTGCCTCTTAGCTTCTTTTGGTAGTTGATGTACTAGTGAATTCCTACTGTGATTATCATTCCCGAGAGTTTTACCCCATGTGAACAGGTCAAATGTGACCAGAAGTATCATGAACCAATGCTAATCAGGCCTCTCTCCTGCACTCTGACACCAAGGACATCATTATCACAAAGAAAGAGGTGTTATTACGGCAATATAAATCACCGAAGAGTTTGGCTCAAAACTTTTTTATTAGCTAAAACTTTTATTAATAAAAGTAGATTAAAAACATATTAAGAGTTCAATATTTTAAAGAATCACCCTTAGGAAATAGGCATATGATGATTGGTTGTAATGATATATCATAATTAACAAGAGTACTACAGAGTCTTGAGCCCCACATCTCTGCATTGTGATGGATTTTCCAGTTCAGTTCAATATAGTTCAATTCAATTCACTTTGACTCAATTTATAGTTATTTCAACTCAAGGTAGTATTATGACATTGTGTGAAGAACATAGGCTTTATCTCATATCTCAGAATTTATGAACTTCAATATCAACTACTCTTTGTATGGCATTTGGAAACCTACCTAATCTTTTTAAACTTTAATTTCCTCATCTG